AATGTTTGTGTTGATTAAACCCTAACAAATAAGAAAATAATAAAAAGAAATTAGTTTATAAACACAAAAAATGAATATTTTTGTTTAATAATGTCGATTTTATAATTATAATCTCAAAAAAGTAACAACATAAAAGTATTTTATAAGACAGTGTACAAAACTGCTAGGCGACTGGGCGAGGCGAGCCTCCAAGGGCGCCTTGTCGCCTAGGCGCCCGCCTAGGCATCGCCTTGACAACTATGTCTTTGTATTAGATTACAAAAGACAGATTTGTCCCTCATTAAGTGTGGGACACACAACTTAAACCCAGACAAAATAGACAACTTAATCTTAATTAGATAGACAAAAGACTTAACTATCCTTGTACTCTCGATTCTAACACCAAGTATCTTCAGTTCTCCATGTCTTTAATTTAAAATTCCTACCCGAGAAAGGATTTCAGCTGCTGCTAAATTTTCTTACTATTGTCTCCAATCACATCAATGTCATCAAACATATAAGAAAACAGCCATTATACTGCCAAGCCCTTGCTTAATGAAGAGTGCATAATTGTCTTTACTCTGATTATACCCTATTTTTTTCATAGAACCACTACACCTCTTAAAACCAAATTCTAGGGAAAGCTTTCAACCCTTATAAAGCCTTCCTTGATTTGCATACCTTCCCTTTTGCATTAGAATAATTAAATCTTAATGGAAACTTCTTGTTTTCTTATTGTAAATCTCCATTAAGGAATGCATTTTTCACACAAAGTGGTGGAGAACCAAGATTTATTTGCATCAATAGGGAGAAGAACCCTAATGGAAGTAATCTTAGCAATTGGGGCAAATGTGTCTTGATAATCAATACCACAAGTCTACATGAACCCCTCGGTAGATAGTCTCACCCTGTACCTCTCCACCGAACCATCTGGTTTCGATCCTTTACAATGTAAACCCATTACACATAACAAGGCATTTTCCAAGAGGTAAAATCAACCAATTCCCAGGTTCCAATTTTTTCTAATGCTTTCATCCATTCATACAAGCATCTCTTCATACAGATTCGAATAATGCATTTGAAACACTAGCAAGAAAAAACTATGATAATGGGTTTAGGAATAGTAGCAAAACTCTGATAATGGGTTCAGATTCAAACTAGAGGCAACAAAACTATGATAAGGAGAAACAAAGTGATAAAAGCATAACCTAGGATGGGATGTTGACTACAAGATCACTTCCTTTCCTGACAGCAATTGGTAAGTCAATATCCAAAAGGTTACAATAGAAGGAATAATAGGTTTAGAAACACTAGAACTAGAAAACAATTTAGGAGAACTAGTAGAAACAGTACCTAAATCCAAAAGATGATCTTGGGGTAGTTATTCCCCTGACTGACCCTTTTTCCTCTTGGCTTAGACTTGTAATTCTTTGCTAATTACCTCATCATCACCCTTAGAGATGTAGATTTAATAGAGTCAAAGACCAATGGATGAACTGAAATAATTAGGAAGGGCATTCATCATCTCTTTCATTGGAGTAGTTTTCTCCCCTTGAAGAGAGTCCCCCCAAGAAACAAAGAAAATGGTAGCTTCAAAGAAGACATCCATAAAAATGATCTTCTTGCAAGAAGATATGTCAACATCATCATCTATGCCTTATCCCAATTATATGGGATCAGCTGCATTAATCCTGTTTTACCAATCCGTCTTATCCACTGTTAAATTATTAGTGCTTAATGCAAGAAGATATATGATAACAGTTATATCTCTTCTGTGTAGTAAAATAAACTAGAAAAATACAATTGAGAACATGAGGATAAAGTTTAAATCAGGAGGATGAACACGAACATAACAAACAAACCGCAACAGGATTATTTCTGTGTAATAAAAATATCTTCTTCTTCCTTCTTTTTCTTCTCTAAAATCAGGATTATTATATTTCTTCTTGGCACCAGAGTAGGCTCCCAATTCCTGCTTTTCTCTTTTTAGGAGAAATAAGTTGATGATCAATTGAAAATTGATGTTGCCCAGTTGGGGGAGATTTCTGGAGAAGATTAAAGATTCAGATTGAGGCCCAAGACAGGTTCTTGGAGATTTTTCCTGAAAACCCTAGCTGGCTGGAGAAATCATATTAAGAGGTCTAGAGACAGTTTGAAGCTGGCTGTTGGGGCTTATAGGAGAGTTTATTGACCTATTTGGAGATCAACTTTGGATGGAGAAGCTTCAGGAGTCCCGGTTAGGAGTGGCTATAAGTTCTCTCTTTCTCCCATGTTGTCGGGTATTGCGAAACCCTAGTTTTTCACTATGATGAAAAAAGTTTGACTTAAGGTTAGTGTTTTTTATCTTAGCTAGGGGAGTTGAGACAAAATATCCTATAGACTCCAGATTTAGCTACGGGGTCTGTGGAGACTGCTTGGGGCAGTGACTACTATGAAGATAGATAGAACTATTTGGCATGGTCTCAATCAATAAAAACCCATATCTATAGTAAAGGAAAATGGGGATACATCATTGGGAGTAAGGAAAAACCTAAGGAAGATGATCCTACCTATGAGAAGTGGATGTAGGAAAATTACACAGTAGTAGGCTAGTTAATGAATTCTATGCAACCTCATATCAATCAACATTACCTGTGGGTAAACACTGCCGAGGTATGAGATAGTGTTAAAGAGACCTACTTACAGAAGTTGAATGTTGCTAGGGCTTATAAATTAAAGAACAATGTGAATAATTTTAGATAGGGGAAGAAGCCCATAGCTATGTATTTCCCAATGTTGAAGTCTCTTTGGCAGGAAATTGATTTGATGGAGACAATTCAATGGGGGTGCACAAAAAATGTTGAATACTCATAGGAAACTAGTGGATAGAAATCAGATTTTTTCCTTACTGGACTCAATCCTAAATATGATAGTTAGACAAAATGGTTGCCTAAAGATGATGTGACCCTTTCTCAAGCTTATGCTATGGTCAGTAGTGAGGAAAGTAGAAGACAAATTCAGATTGTGGAAGTCCCAGTAGATCATTTTGCTAATGCTGGGACAAAGCAAAAGGTGATTACAAAGAAGGAGGCTAGGAGAAACTACTACAAGAAAGTGAAGCACACAAAGGATACCTATCGGAAGCTACATTCAAAGCTCATACATCACAGATTTAAGAAAATTAATAATGGCAGAAAGAGTGGCAATGCTAATGTAGCCTTCTCCAAGTGTAAAAAGGCGCAATATGATGAGAAGTCTGTAGGGGAACAGCTTGCAGCCGCAGGGTTGAATATGAGAAGTATGGTTGTATTATTAGTCATCTGGAATCTACCTCTTCAACTTCTCCTCTACCAAGAAATGGCTCCACTTCTGCCTATGCTCACTCAAGTATTCATGCTACTACGAACTATGCTTCTACCTCAGGTAATTGTAGGACCCACTCGATAATAGATTCTAGTGCCTTTGATCATATGACTAGTGTTTCCATATTATTCACTACTTACCAATTTTTATCTAGTCGCAACAAAATATCCCTTGATGATGAGTCTCAATGTGCTCCTAGGCTATGCAAATATTTCCAGTGTATGATAACCACTATTAAACTTAATTGACTCAACTTTTTAGAGTGGTCCCAATCTGCTAAATTTACCATCACATGGAAAGGTAAATTGGGATTCAATCCAGTTGTAGCAGGAAAAGGGTGGCACATACTCCTCATATGGTTCTGATTCTTGTAATCCATTTGTTTGTATGCTAAGTACTACACTTGCTTGTTCCACATCTACCGACCCATGGATTGTAGACAATGGGGCTAGTGCCCATATGACTAGTATGCCTTCAGATTTACCTCATATATGTTAACACCGAGGAAGGGTAAGATTACTATTGACGATGCATCTCAGACTCCTATCTCAAGTCAGGGTTAAGTCAAACAACCCACAAGGCCACAACCTATCCCTTGGATTTA